GCTTGTTGACAGCCGTCGGAAGAGTAGAAAGCCGGGACTCATGTTCAAGTTGGATATTGAAAAGGCCTTTGACAACGTTAGTTGGGATTTCCTTTTTAGTGTTTGCTCCAGTTTGGGATTCCCGTTGAAGTGGCAGCAGTGGATTCGTGGAGTGATGTGTTCTCTGATGCTGTCTATTTTGGTTAATGGGGAAGCTAAAGGTTTCTTTACGGTGCACAAAGGACTCCGCCAAGGTGGTCCCCTTTCGCCTGGATTGTTTGCTCTCGTCATGGATGTGCTGTCAGTTATGATCACCAAGCTCAGAGAGGATGAAAAAATTAGTGGGTTCTATATTAATGAGAACGAGGAAACTGGCGAGGTCACTCATCTGTTATTTGCCGATGATACGCTGATTTTCTGTGATGCATCCCATGATCAGATTTTGAGTATCCTGACCACCATTGTTTGTTTCCAGGCTGCTACAAGTTTGAAGATCAATTTGGAAAAATTGGTTATGTTCACAGTGGGGGATGTGGCGAATCCGGATTTCTTTGCTGATATTTTTGGGTGTAATTGGAGCAAGGATGTTTCCAAGTACCTCACTTTTCCGTTAGACGCTAAGCCGAATGTTGTCTCTACTTGGGATCCAATTATTGCAAATCATCAAAAGAGGCTAGAGGGATGGAAGGGGCGTTTCTTGTCTATGGGTTGACTTTGTACAAGTCAGTCCTTGTTAGCCACCCTGTTTATTTCTTCTCTATTCTTCGTGCTCCTACTACAGTGACAAAGAGAATGGAAGATGTGCAGAGAAGGTTCATGTGGAGTGGAACATGGGAGAAACAAAAGGTTCCTTTGGTAAAGTGGGAGTTGTCTAAAGCAGCAAAAGATAAAGGAGGTTTGGGAGTGTTGATTTGGCTTGTTTCAATAGTGCCATGCTTGACAAATGGCTTTGGCATTTTGCTAACGAGAAGGAAGGGTGGTGGAGGCATTTGATTAGTGCCAAATACCCGAATGCTCTCTCTGCTTGGCATACGGGTAAATGTAACAGTGGATTTGCCAGTTCTGTATGGGCTAATATCACGAAGGGCTTTGATGACTTTTGGAGGATGGCTCATATAGACCCGGGAAGTGGAGCGTGGGTCTCGTTTTGGCATGATTGTTGGATCCCTGAGATGGTTCTCGCTGACACTTTCCCCCGTGTTGCTGCCGCAACGCCTAATCAGGATGCTTGGGTTTCAGACGTTCTGATTCATACAGGTGAGAGTATTGAGTGGGATATTCCTTTATCATTTAATCTTAGAGGGAGGGTTGAGAGGGAAAGGGTGTCTCTTATTAACTTATTGAATTCTTGTGGGGCTAATAGGGTGACCAGCGGGCCTTGTAGGCTGGTTTGGTCGCCGTCACCAAACTCCTCGTTTTCTGTTCGTTCCATGTACAGGTGTCTTACCAAAGATCATTTTCGTGGGCTGCCTAACTTCCCTGCTAATTCTGTCTGGCGGCAGATCATCCCCAACAAGATTTGCTTCTTCATTTGGCTCCTTGTCCACATGAGAGTCTCCACGCTTGATAGGCTTCAAAGAACGGGACTCTCAATCGCTAATAGGTGTGTGCTTTGCTGCAAGAAGAAAGAGACGGCGAACCATTTGTTTGTGGAATGCGAGTTTGGGAAGGAGGTTTGGCTTCGGATCAAGAGAGCTGGCAGCTTTATTGTCCCGCCATCAACTGATATTGGAACAACGATTCAAAGGTGGAGCAAGGATGAGCCGGGGAACATTGCAGGATGGATACATTATTGTGCTTTACATGCGGTTTGTTGGCAAGTGTGGCTTGAGAGGAATAGGCGTATCTTCCAAGACCAACATGTGCCTGCTCATGTGGTTGCGCGGATGGCAATTAGAGGTATGATGGAGTGGGTTATGGTTCATGGCAAGGTGGGGAAAGATGATGGTATTAGGTGGCTTAGGGATTTCTTAACCAGGGTGTGAGATCGTTTGGATTGCTGGATTGGGTTGGAGTTTTCGGATGGAGGTTGCTTGATTGATTGGAGTTGCTGAGGCTGGAGCCTTTGTTTTTGGCCTCTTTGTTCGTGTTTTTTGATTTTATTAGTTCGTGGCGGTGGCAGGTGTTGAGCGCTTGTTATGGTGGTTTCGGTCGCTGGTTCCTGTGTAGCTTCGGGGGATCTTCTTCCTGCTCACTGTGGGCTTTCCCTTTCCCCTTTACTGCCTTGTTTATGGCCGCTGTAGTGTCTTGTAGGGCTCTCGTCCTTGTGCTTTTATCTTGTTCTTTTTGTTCTTTTGTTGCTGTTGTTCAGTGCTTCTGAACCAGCTTCTCCTTTGGTTTGTATTTACTTTGGACTTCTTCGACTTTTGCCGTTCTGTTTTAATTTATTCTTCATCGCCATTATCAAAAATAAATTAAACTTGTCAGTATTATTGCATATTTACAACGGTAAAATAAATTTCTTCATAAACAGTTACCCAAGATCCCTCGAATATACCTAAAATAGAATTTCCCACGCAATTTACTGCCATTTCCAACGCGATTTTTTTGGTCAAGAAAAATATTTTCTTTTGCAACAATTTCATTTTTTCGTTGGGAATGATGATAATTTGCGACGAATAATAGTAGTCGTCATGCGGTTTTGGTAATAACTAACTGTCTTTTTTGTAGTGCTATGCCCCGCCCCACACTGTTGCTGGTCGGGTAATATCCGTTCCATCGCTAGTCAGGTCGGGTAATACCCGCGAGGCGAGTTCAAATTTCCATTACTATGTGACAGGTTATGTATGATTATGCAGGACAAAATTGTGCAACGATTTCGCTCCCTGAATTGAGTCCATTCTATGTTTATGGGACTTCACCTCATGAAGGGACCAGATTTCCTTCTCTAGTGACGACTCCAAACCAAAATTCAATATGTTGGTCCGGTTCGCCCACTGAAATCGACCTAAAAGTACTCGCCGGAAGCATTTGTCTAACTAGGTTGTCGGTAGTTGGCTAGCTTGCAGTCTTGCAGCCATCCATAACATTTTTAGTATTGTGTTACCGATAGAATTAATTCATAGCTCACGTTAAGTCCAAAGTTTTCTCCACGAATTAATTTCGTTCCATTAATGTCATCTAGTGCTTATGGGACTTCACATAATTGGTACGTACGTACTGCCCGCTGACCAGTTCAGTTCAGTTCCGGACGATGACGTCGATTACAAAGCGAGGAGTTTTCTTTTTAACATGCGATCGCCGATGGGTTCCATGCATCTTCGTGATCGTCTCCTCCTTTTGTAAGAAAAGCCGGACTTGGGATTGGATAATTTCCGACGGGATGGCCGACCTCGTAGATTACGATAACTGTTTCTTTTTCCTATCATACGGTACTATACAGGGCCAGTCAATGATATTCGGAGGCCCTGTGCGAAAATTAAAAGGTGGCTCTATTTTTTTTTCTATCATTGTTTAAAATTTCCAATCAAAATTAAGTTCCCTGCAAAAAAAAAAAAAAAAGGAATAAAAGAGATTAGAAGTTAATAACCAAACATAAAGAAAAGAACCAGCAGGTACATATTGTGCATTCGTCCAAAAAATAAAATACATATCCCTCTCCCAAAACTCAAACTTTACTCACACCTGAATTCAATTAACCAAACTTTGAGCAAGAATTCCCCACAAAGCCACAAGCATTGCAGGAAAGCCGTAAGTCATCCCTCTCACGATAAAGCTGCAAGCTAACAATCCAATTCCCTGAAAACACTAGTTTGGGAAAACCCCATTTCACAAAACCCATAAGTTTACTTCCATTGAAAGCGATCCTCCAGTACGGCAGTACCAAACATAAAGAAACAAATTGGAAGATTATAATGGAAGAACTTACAAACCTAAGGAGTAAATGGCTTAATTGGAACACTTAAAGCCCTGTACCGATATACTGCTATAGAATACAGAGCTGATGCCTGCGAGCGGCTGCTCTCCTCGCTCGGCTGATTTTGTTGGTTCAAATTGGAAGATTGAAAGTCAAAGAAAGATGGGAGAATTGAGATGGGTGGGTCTGAGTTTGAGAAGCATTGTGGTTTGCGTCTGGGCTCTGTGGATTGAATCGCTGAGCTATATGCGAGTATTTAACTCAATGGAGAGATTGAATTGAAGCCTGGAAAGACGAAAGGAGTGTTTGAAATTCTCCCAATTTCCAATGCAGATACGCGTGGATAGTAGGGATGAAATTGATTAAGAGTTAATTAAAATGGTTGTCAAGAACAACGATTATTTGGGAAGTTGAAAAAATCTGGTTAAGTATGACTTAATGAAGTTTTGGGAAAGGGGAGACGGAGGCCCACTCGGTGTCGGCCATCAATGATTTAGGGTTTATTGTACATGCATATATATAATAATGGGCCTATTATGAGGCCCCCAAATATTTGAGGCCCTGTGCTGTGGGTCTGACCAGCACAGGGCCTGGGTCGGGCCTGAATTACTATACGACAAATCAGTGTCAGCTATAATTACTTCGTCAGGCCTTGGCCCATATGCTGCTTCCATTTTAGTATCCTTTCACGGGCATTCTTAGACATCACTCAATCTACTAGCTTTTTCTTGCTTATTTGTGACGAATATTTCTAACAATTTATCACTCGATCTATTGGTGAATTTGGGATGTGAAATATGCAAATTCTCTTTCTGTTGAGCCTATTGCTGACTCACTTTCTGTCAGCTCACATTTGCTTCTGACCCTGTATCTCTCCAAGACTTCTGTGTTGCTGATAGATATGTATACATCTCTCCAAGATATGTTACTGACATTAATTGGAATTTGACTATCATGTCACTGTAAACTGTCTGATGGAATTGAACGTCACACTTATTGTAGTGAAAATGAACGGCTTACCTTACAAGAATCCTGCAACAGTCCAAGCTAGCGATTTCTCTTTCGCCGGGTTGCACATTCCCAGGAACACCGCTAAACGGTTGGTTCTGCAGTCACAGCTGCCACCGTGACTCAAATTCCCGGTCTCAATACACTAGGCATCTCAATGGCGTGTATTGACATTGCATCGTGGGGTATCAATCCTCCTCACACTCACCCAAGAGCCACCGAGATTCTCACTGTCATTGAAGGCTCTCTGGATGTCGGATTCGTCACATCAAACCTTGATAATCGTCTTATCTCAAAGATTCTTCAGAAGGGTGATGTCTTTGTCTTTCTAACTGGGTTGATTCATTTCCAACGCAACGTTAGGCAAGGTCACGCTGTGGCCATTGCTGCACTAAGCAGCCAAAATCCAGGAGTTATCACTATGGCTAACTCCATCTTTGGGTCAAAGCCTAACATTTTTACATACATTCTTGCAAAGGCATTCCGAGTAGACAAGAGTATTGTGCAGAAAAGCCAATGGAGTTTCTAGAGAACCATATGGGATGTTTCATAAAAATTATGGTCATGTACCTTGTGCCGCTACAATCTGATTATCAATAACTTGTTCATTTATGTTTTTACCCAATTTTTGTTCGGTTGGCAATTAGGTGGTTACTCAAATTGATGGGTACTCAAAATGATTGGTTCCTGAATTACTGTATGTGTTCGTTGGCTAAAGTTGATTAATAAATTTTGTTTTATGTTATTGGATCATAATTGAATGCTCTTCTAGCTACAAGAGTATGAGCAGTAGGGGTGGGCATTCGGTCGGTTCGATTCAAACCGAACCGAACAGACCAATATCGGAGTTCCGATTACACCCACAAGCCAAACCGAATTCGAACGAATTATAATTCGGTTCGATTCGGTTTCCCCCTCAAAACCGAAAATGTGGGCTGCATGCGTTTTGGCCCTTTTAACTCCTACGTATTGGGCGCCTGCTGCTAGGCAAAATTGAGGAAGGCCTCCCTATCTTCCCATTTGGCCATTTCTCCTTTTCACTCCTCAGATACTCCCCCCCCCCCTCTCTCTCCCCCACCAACCAAGTCCAACGAACGAGGCGGCGACCGGCGAGCACAAGACATAGCTCGATGCTGAGCACAACGCATCTGGTGCAACGGGTGAGATCTCGCCTCTGTCTCCAATCTCGAAGCGACGTGGATGTTTAAGGGATCAAAAGGAAGAAAGGAAATCGGTGGACGATGACAGAGGCTGATTGACGACGGCGGCCGCGACGATGACTTCGATGAGGAAAGCTCGTATGGTTCAAATCCAAGCTTGCATGATATTTTTTTGAGTTTGTATCTCTCCTCTGTTTTTTATTCAGACGGAGAATAAACTAGATGCGACGGGGAAGAGAAAGTGACAAAGAAAGGAAGAAAGGTTGATCTTGGTGGTGAAGGAGAAGATGGCAGAGGTGATGGCTTTATGGCGTCGATCGTCGAAGAGGCAGGGGCCGCAGCGGCTGCGTGGTGGTAGGGGCTAGGGTTTGCTGATGGTAATTGGGAGGTTGGGTCTGGGCTAAGGTTTGTTGTATGGGGTCTGGGCTAGGCTTTGTTGTATGGGCCAATGGGTGGTGGGGACTGGGTTAGGGTTTTAGGCAGGCTTGTGGGCTTGGGCCACTTGGGTTAATAAGTTCATGTCACCTGTTGGGGCATATTTCGGTTTTTGGTTCGGAATTCGGAACCTCGGTTCGCTTGAGAGAACCCTGGTTTCCGAATTGTCTATATTTTCATTCCGAATTTCGAACTGAAAAACAAAAGTTTGGTTTCGGTTTGGTCCAATTCAGTTTCGGTCCGGTTCGGTTCGCGTTTACCGAACCGGATGCCCACCCCTAATGAGCAGCTTCATAGTTCAAATCCTCAGCCAACGTTCACGTAGATAATTGAAACTAACACAGACAATAAAGAAAATACAAGTCAATCTTACGTTTGTTGTATTTTACTAGCTAAACCACAAACAACCAGCAAAGAGGAGTTTCAGTCTACAGCGGGCCAAACCAGTGTTGTCAAAACCGAACCGGACACCAATCCGGATTAACTAGAGGTTCAAAGTTTATCAGATAACCGTTGATTAACCGGTAGTAAGAACTGGTCATAAATCGGTGATTTGCTCCATATAATAAGAAAGAAAAATGGAATAAGAATTAAAAAAAGAAAGTCAAAACACAAAAAGGAAAGGAGTAGGTTGTTGGAGGAAGTAGGGTAAGTGGGACCGGATCAGGTCAGTAACCCTCCTATCAGCAACTGTCAGTAATCCAATTATCTGTCCCCACGTGTCAGCCTTTTCCTTTTATTTAAATTAACACGGAGGGGCACTAAGGTAAATTGGACCCCCTATTTAATGCTGACGCTCTGACGCTGACTTTTTGACCAGACACGGATCCCACTCCCCCACATTGGTTTCCTTCTCTCTCACTCTTTGTTTTATTATTAAAAGACAAAATACATTATTTCTTCTCTCTCCCATCTACAACAAAAATGAATCTAAGCAGCCTAGCTATCTCTATTTTAACTCCAACTCAAATTGAATGGCGATTTTTTCGTTAAAAATATGGTAAAATATGTTGAAGAAAATTACAAATCTAACTACCATACAATACCACATGGTATAACGTGGCAAATATGGTAAAATATGTTGAAGAAAATTACAAATCTAACTACCATACAATACCACATGGTATAACGTGGTAAAACATGCTACAGAAATTTATAAATCTAATTACCATACCATATGGTATAACATGCTAAAATAAAATTACAAATCCAACTACCACCACATGGTATAACTTGGTAAACCACGCTACAGAAAAATAAATCTAACTAGTATATAATACCACCATAGTAGAACATGGTAAATCGAAGGACTACAAATTAAGTATATTTACCATACAATACCACATGGTATGAGAAGGTAAAACCATATAAATCTAATTAAAACCCTCTACGTACGACCATAGTAAAATATGATATTCATAAAAATACATTTCGATACCACACATTACCATATGGTATAGACACATTATCATATGGTATAGTGTGGTAATCTCAATATATATATACAATTACAACTTTTTCACTTTCTTCTCTCCCTTCATTGTCTTCTAACTCTTCTTTCTCGAAACTGGTGTCGATTATCACCCACTACCACCATGATAAAATTGGTGACTATAAAAATACATTTAGTTAGCACACATTATCATATGGTATAGCGTGGTAATATCAATATATATTATCTCAAAGAAGGAGGAAAACAGAAGAAGGAAGAGAGAAAAAACTCGTCTTCTGTCGCCTCTCATTTACTCCTCCGCAATCAAGAACACCAAACGCAAAAAGAAAGAAAAAAGAGGAGGAAGATCGGAATTGAAAATTCACAAACAAATACTAAAACATAAAAGATGCAAACTCGACTCACCTAGATCTGTCCCCTCTTTGACAATATGGAGTGTCATCTATTTTGAGGTCGAGAAAAGAAAGAACAGAAGGAAGGAGCAGCTTGAGAGAAGAAGGATTTGGAGCGTCGCCGAATTTGAGGTGTGAGGCTGCAATTTTTCTTCGTCGATTGTTGGAGAAAAAAAATGAAGAACAAGAGAAGAAAGGAGATTAAGATCTGGAAAAATGAGTTTGGAAGAGAGAAAGAGAAAAGAGACAGGAAGTGAGAAGTCTGTTTTTCTCTTTTCTCATTAAAAGACAACATATAAATGCTGGAAAAAATAAAAAAGCAAAGAAATAAAATTTCAAAAATCGGACAAAAATGCCTCTCCCCAATCCGAGTGCATCCAGCCACACGATGGTTCCGCCCTTAGATCTATTATCCTGGTTTAATTACTAACAGGTCAGTAACCATTAGTTACTAACTCTATCCTATGCCGCCACTTTCCATCCTTCCTTTTTTAATTATTAATTAATGTAATGCAAAAAATGATAAGGGCCCATTAAACTTTACACATACCGCCCGTTTTAGTGCTTCCGGGACCGAATTTGAGGTCGGGTCCGGTTTTTCAGTCAGACCGGCCAGTCCGGACTGGTATTCACAACAGGGGGCCAAACCCATACAGAAAGGGCAATGAAAGAAGAGATTATCACGGTTTTAAGAATCACTCGCATAGCAAAAGTTGATTAATAATTTTTATTTTATTTTATTTGGTCTTTATAAAGATAAAAATGTCTCGAGTAACTACCGTCTCAATAATTTGAGTTGCTGAGAGGGGTTCAATATTTGATCTTACATCAGATAGTTATTCGTGATTTAGTTAGTCATTTACTTTCGAATGGTTTTCTTTATCAAGAACCGTATATTTTCAATAATTCACACTTTAATAATGAATCTTACTTCATGTTCTAACACGCCCCACAAAAGAATATCAACTTATATGAACTTGAAGCTTGCCTAAATCTGAATATCATGTGCTTCACAAATGTGGTCTCAAAGATTCGAACACAAGAATTTCTCGATCACTCTTTCCCAATTAGATTCAGCATAACTTTCATTCTCAATTAACTATTATAACTAATTTACTCATTTTCCTCTTTAACTAGTGTGGACCTCGGGACCCACACTGTTACACACTACCCTCGCCTCTGATAATACAATTCTTGACAAAATACCATTTGAAAGCAACCAACAAATTAAATAATGAATAATTGTTTGGTATATATCGAGTGATATTCTTGATAGTTTCGACTATTAGTTTATTTTAATTTACCAAAATTTTCCGAATATAAGATTATAGATGGGATGATTAGAAAAATAAAATAAACTATTATATCATGTTTTTTTTTTTACTAAATGAACTCACCACTGCACAAAAATATGGTCATATGAGACAAAATAGCGATGGCCAATGTAGTCAAAAGCGAGTTTCTACTTAGAAACGTCTTGGTGATCAAGTTTCATAAAATCGTAAGTTTTTAAGTTTTAAAGCGGAATTTTTAACTACATAATTTATAAAAACTGAGATTTTGTGTAGGAGCGTTTTAGTGACCTAGAAACTTAAAATCATAATTTTTTAAGTTTTAAATCACGATTTTGACTACATTGACGATGGCCACTTAAATACATCAGTAAAAATGATTATTAGTGACAATACTTTACTTTCTTAATAATATTTCGTCAACTAATCATGCATTTGTGACAGAAGCTTATTCTCAGTCAGTAAAGACAAAAATACTCGTTAAAATAGATAATTTTTTTTTGAGTGATATAAGTTACTTTTTTGTTATTAGAAACTATTGAAAGAATTCAAACATAGGACCTTCAAGTTCAATGTTTATGCTATTACCACTAAACCAATCACTACAAATGATAAATTTTGGAGGGAAACAATAATGCCATCATTATTTGTGACCCACACGGCCACAGCTGTTTTCCAACAGTAATTTTGAATTTAACCGACGAAAACAAACCGGTAGTCACAAAATTTTATGACATCATACAACTTCCCAGTTTCATACTAAAAATTAAAAAATTTCTTTCTCCGCCATATCCCGG